AAAACAAAACAAAAAAAAAAAAGAAGTGAGAAAAGCAAATTAGGGTAGTAGTTTAATAATAATAATAGAAGTAAAACAAGCAGAAAGGAGTAAAGAGAAGTGTGTTAAAATTTTGGAGTATAAAAAGGATCGATTTTATAATCAGTGATCAGTTAGGTGTAGGTTAGCAAAGAAGTGACTGCAGATTAGGAAGCTGCTATTTGGAGTGTGTGTGGCAGAAAGAGACATGCTTTCAGTCATAATTATTGACATCTGTTGATTCTGGAAAACAATGGGGCTCCATGGCATTTCCATGTACTTGTACATTGTGTCTGCTGCCCTCTTGCCCTCCCCCAACCAAATGCTTTTTCAGTCATAAAATACCTTATCACACCCTATTTTTCTTCTTTTACACTGGGTCTTTCTGTTTCTCAGGCTGTCCCCAGACTTTCTAGGTCTCAAACTATCTTTGTACTCAGCCTTCCTACTGCTTGGAACTACAGGTAGCATTACTTTAAGCCTTTGTGAAGCTGGGCAGTGGTGGCGCACGCCTTTAATCCCAGCACTTGAGAGGCAGAGGCAGGTGGATCTCTGTGAGTTCAAGGCCAGCCTGGTCTACAGAGGGAGTTCCAGGAAAGGCTCCAAAGTTACACAGAGAAACCCTGTCTTGAAAAGACCAAAAAAGGAAAAAAAAAAAAAAGCCTCTGAGTTTTTGGAATGGTTTGTTACATGGCAATAAACGTGAGGCAGTCCCTGCAAGGAAGGTTGGGCATGCTACTGCTTGAAGCTGTGAAGGAGAAGTGAAACCTGTTGCAATGGTGGCCCAAGGATGTTGGAAAATCTAGGACCACGAAATGCCCACCAGGAGGCTCTAGGTGTGGAGTGGAGCAGACTGGGAATGAGAGCCGTGCTCTCACTGGCCCTGTTTGGAATGGGGGTGTTCATTTTGTGCCACTGCGCATCGCAAGTCTTGGCCTTGGCCTTGAGTCTTGGAAGGGACTTGGACTTTGGAGTTTCAAACAGTGTTGGAAATGTTAAAGACTGTGGGGACTTTATGGTGCTGGGCTGAATACATTCTTCATAATGAGATGGTATTGAGTCTATGGGAATGAAGGGAGAGAGGATATCTCCACTGAGGCAAGCTGAAGTGGGGTAGGGAGTCAGCCAGAGAACGCTTTTGTGTATTTCAGGTGACAGAGCTCAAGAGGTGAGGTGAACACAGATGATACCATTGTGAGTTCCAGATGTCCCAAATAGTCCAAAATGTGGGCTCACAAAAGACTGGAGAGTTTGAGGGAGGGAGAAGCCATCCAGGCCAAATACTACTGAGAAGATTTGACTAACATGCAAGGTTGTGACTTCAACAAAAATAATTCCAGTTTGAAAGGTGGACATGGAGGCTGTGGTTGGTGACTTTTAAAATGGATCCTCACTTGCAGTTACTTGTGTAACTTGGTGATTTGCTTCTACTGAACAGGATTTGGTTATGGGTATCAACTTAACAAGGAGTGGACTTGTAATGTTCACTTGGTTGTCAACCAGATTGGATCTGGAACCAACTAAGAGACACTCCTCTGGTTGAGTTAGTTAGGGTATTTCTTGGAAGGGTGTGTTCTGGTAGAATCTCCATCTCAATCCTCCTCCCCCACCTTCCTCTCCCCAAACCCTTTCCCATTCCATAAAGCCCACCATCAGCTGCTCCCCCGCCATCAGCTGCTCCCCGGCTCCCAGCTGCTCCCCAGGCCCCCAGCGGCTCCCCTGCCCCCAGGTGCCTGGGACCACTCCCACCCGCTATTTAAGACCTGCCACGTGTGTCCTATTCTGTCCCCTGCCTTCCTGAGGGCCACCGAGAGTGCTCTGCTTTGCATTGCCTTGTTTATTAAATCTGGATTTATTAATTCAGTTTGATTGGCTTATTGCATTTCGGCGGAGGAACCCAGCGACCAGGGATCCAACACTTAACAGAATGAGCTGATCCCAACACTCAGGAGGCAGAGCCAGGTGGATCTCTGTGAGTTCGAGGCCAGTCTGGGCTACCAAGCGAGTTCCAGGAAAGGCGCAAAGCTACACAGGGAAACCCTGTCTCGGGGAAAAAAAAAAAAAACAACAACAACAACAAAAAACCCAGAAAGTCTCTCTGCCAGAGTGGGCTGTTTAGAGTTCCCCAGCCCCAGACAGCTCATTAGTATACAGAAAGGCACTAGTGCTTCCCTGAGTCCTGAGGTTTTATAAGCCGTGACAAAAAATGGGATAAGGATCAACACACGCATCTATTATACTATAATATTATAACCACTCTTTCTCCATCAACATTAAGGTATCCCCTTCTAATTAACCATTCTTATTGGCATTTCATTGAACTTCCAAAGAAAACCCTGTGCTCCACACTCCTCCAGAAGTACCATGGACCACTAGCATAAAATGTGGTTGAATTGCCTATGCTCCCTGTATGCATCTTCCATGCCTAATTTGGCTTAGTATCAGTTATTTCTGTGTAATGAATCACCCTCAATTTTAGCAGCTTAAAACATAGTTTCTGTGGATCAGAAATCTAGGTGTGACTTAGTTAGATGCCTGGCCAAATTTGTTTTTAAGTTTCCACTGTGTATGCTTTTTGGGGGAGGAGGTATATAGAAAGTTCATTGTAAGCCTCAAGTGATGGCTACTTTTAGGGAATACTACTTGCTTATTACATGGATCTCTCAATAGAGTGGCCATATAAAGTAAATAACCAACTACACAAATACAAATCTCAAGGAATGAAAACAGTTTAAAAGTATCTTAGGGATTGTGGTGTGGCTAAGATAGGGTGCATATTTACTGGATCACTTCTGCCAAAGCCTGTTTATTAGAAGGAAATCACCAAGTCACATAAGGGTCTGCACACAGAGATCCATTTTAAAAGCCACCAACCACTGCCTCCACGTTCACCTTTCAGACTGAAATTGCTCTTGTTGAAGTCACAACCTTGAATGTTAGTCAAATCCCTCCCTCCAACTCTGCAGTCTTCCTGATTCCACATACTACTTCCCTCTACCTTTATCTCTCTCAGTACTGGCTCTCTGCTTCTCTACCCAGCTTCTTCCCTTTATCAACACTCCTTACATCACGTGTCCCCAGGACTTTAAATACCTGGAATAGCTGTTTCACTGCCTACCCTACATTCCTTTACTTTCTCCTGGCCCACTACTCAGCTGCCTATTTCTTTTCTTTTCTTTCTTTCTTTCTTTTTTTTTTTTTTTAATTTTATTATTTTTTTATTTTCGAGACAGGGTTTCTCTGTAGCTTTGGCGCCTCTCCTGGAACTCACTCTGTAGCCCAGGCTGGCCTTGAACTCACAGAGATCCGCCTGGCTCTGCTTCCCTGAGTGCTGGGATTAAAGGTGTGCGCCACGGCCTTGGCTCAGCTGCCTTCTTGGTATCACAGATGTACAGCGGGAATCTCAAACCACCCAAGACCAAAACAGAACCCGTGATTTTCTTTAAGTCTGTTGTTCTGAATATTTAACTCCAGTTTTAGAATGTTAAGAAACAGCAAAAGTTCCAGTACCCAAACTAAAACCACTAACCAACTTAACAGAAAAGGTCACTAGTAATCAAGAGTTTGAAATATCAGCTGGGTGTGGTGGCACATGCTTTAAATCCCAGCACTAGGTAGCCGGGCGTGGTGGCGCACGCCTTTAATCCCAGCACTCGGGAGGCAGAGCCAGGCGGATCTCTGTGAGTTCGAAAAAAAAAAAAGCC